ACCATTTGGAGCCTCACTTGGATCACCATGATCACCATTTGGAGCCTCACTTGGATCACCATTTTCAGCCTCACTTGAATCATTATTTGGAGGATATTTTGGATCATCGTCAAAATCATGCAGCTGGTGACCATCATCATTTGGAACCTCGTCAAAAATCCTCATCTCATGCAACCGGTTGTTGACCATCATTTTCATCATCTGTTGAGGTAACCGGCTACTGACTAACATTTTCATCGCAACCTTCATCGAAACTCTCTCCGAACGCTGGATCTACTGTGTTATCAAAATACTTACCGAAATGACCAGACCCACCACACCTTGTGCACTTACGCTTCCTCGCTCCAAGTCCAGCTCCTTCGCTGCGAGGTTTGATTCGACTCTTCCTTGGTCTACCTGCTGCTCTCTTTAGAACTAGAGCATAAACCTTGAATCCAGGGTCCACCATGTCCCATTGTTGTTTTCCCTCCATAACAGGCAAGGCATAAGCATATGTGGACTTGAACCTTGCAACAGAGTAGTAATCATGCACATACTATTGTATGTTCCCTGCTGGACCTGGGAGAGAAGTGATGAAAAGCAAGGCATGAATGCATGGCAACCCAGTTATCTGCCATTGCCTACAACTGCAAGTTCTAGCTTCTAAATCCACTGGATATCTCCATTCCATATTCTCTTTATCCAAATATGATATATCTGATGTGGTCCCCGAGCAAAGAGTCATGTTCATTTCCAAGCCTGTTGTTTTCTGCTTCAGTTCATTCATCATGACAGGGATGATAATGTGGCCCATGAATTTTGCCCCGGCTATTCTTGCACGATAATGAAATTTCTGCATGTATTCTATACTTATCATGTCAAGCAAATCCACCACATAATGACCCTTTAGTTTCCGGATCGTTGAGTGGAAAGACTCTGCTAGATTATTGTGCACATAGTCAACTTTTCTCAGTTCACTGATTTGGCTTCTGGCCCATAACTTGGAGTGGTGTGTTTCCAAGCATTATTTCACTTTGGGATTCATGTATAACTGCCTCAAGTGGTAGTTGTGCTTCTTCACACTGCAAGTTAAAAGATGTTGGCCATAAATTGTCGGTATACACCTTTCCTTTGAATTTCTTCATGAAATTTGCAGCAAGGTGATGCATGCATTCCCTATGTTCTACTCCAGGGAACACATTGTCCACGGCCACTTCTAAACCTTTGCAGGCATCTGTATGAATGACCAACCCATTGGGATGTGCAATAGCCCGGCGCAGATTATGCAAAAACCAAGTCCAGTTCTCCTCGGACTCTGTCTCCAGCACACCGTAGGCAACTGGAATACAAAACTGTGTGCATCAACTACACAAGCTGCTACTAACTGTCCTTTAAACCTTCCTATGAGAAAAGTGGCATCAATAGCCAAATAAGGCCTGCAGCCTGCCAAAAAACCCCGGCGACAAGCCTCAAAGCAGACAAAAACCCTCCTAAAGCATTCCTTGGTCTTTGTCACTCCCCTGAATGTGTACTCCACGGTGTAGTGGTCAATATCTACAATACTACATGGGCTGGTCCTCTGCACTTCACCTTTGAATGAATACAAGAGTTGAAAACTTTCCTGCCAGTTACCATAAATAAAATCCATAGCATGTCGGAAAAGCAACTTGGCTCTCGGGTCTAGATGCTCTCGGAATCTAGACCACCCACTGAGCTCGAGATTCACGCGTGCACATGTATTCTGTGATGTATACTGCGGTCGAAATTCTGGACAGCGGCCTCACACAACGGTACAATCCGAGACGGCGTTAGCTCATGTATGGACAGAACAGACAACGCGTCGATCGGCACAGACGGGGCGTGAGTTCTGTACCACCTGGCCCAGGTAACGGCCGTTTTCCACACCCCCACCCACCGGCCGACACATTTCCAGTAGATCCGCACCAGGCTTCTTCCTCCACACTACTCCAGAAATATCCAATACTATTTCGAGCTCCAGATCCATCGGTGCCATGGCTTCTTTGTCATCTTCCAGCCAGCACCCGGCCTCACAGGAGGTATTGCCTCTAATCCCTTGTCCGTACTGCGGCGACAAGATCCTCAGGTACGTCTGCGGAGCCAGTTCATTGAAGCCCGGACATCGATTCTACAAATGCATCCAGAAAGATGTAAGTGTCTCTGATATGTAGGCATCAGATCGAAAGTTTCTCTGATATGTACACATCAGATCGAAACCCCAATTTGTGTTTGACTTGATGTCTTGTGTTTTTCGAATGCAGGCTGGGAGATGCAAGTTCTATTAGTGGCAGGAGGGGTACGCTAGGTTTCTCCCGGCTCATCTTGGTGCCAACGGGGTCCAGAACCAGATCTAGGAGGGGGCACCCCAAGTTGCAGCTCCGGTGGTGGACCAGCATATTGGAGCAATTCTAGCCATGGTCAGAGATCTGTTGAAGCTCAATCTTATAGTCGCGAGAACCAACCTCACTGCCACGGCATTGCTTCTCGCACTATTCATCGCCATATGTGCCATGGTCATTATGTCTCGCTCCACCAGCGATTAATGTAATAGGCAGTAGCAACTACCTTTCGCGTGTGTCATTAGCATGGGGTCTGTGTTGTGCTAGACCCCGTAGCCGTCTTCGTTTATCTGTTCTAAGTAACTCTGTTGTACCAAGCCGTATGTGTCTGTTGTAATGCAACGAAATGATGCTTAATTAAGTACTTTCCTGTCTTATGTCGAAAAGTTGCATGTGTCCATTAATTAAATTAATTACAGATGACTGGACCCGTTGGCTGGACTGGACCATTCTGGATTCCTTCCCACCCACACATCATGCTGGTTGTGGCCTTTCCCCACAGCCAGGGCCGGTCCTGAGATTTCAGGGGCCCTGGGCGAAATTATAATTGGGGGCCCTTGATGGCCCTTAGTATAGATGTCTATTTATAAATCATTATATGTAGATATAATTTGTATCAAAGAAAAAATTAAGTGCATATCAAATAATGTATTACATATTCCTTCAAAAAATCTCCTCATATTATGAGATGGAAAATCGCTAATGATATTATCAATATCAATTTCATCAAGCATGTTTTTCTCAATGCATAATGTTGCCAAGCTGTTGTAACCCTTTGTCAATTTGTTTCATGCTTTCTCAGTCCAGTGCTCAGTTCATTCCAAGAGTTTATGTTGGTAATATGGTCAACACTAGCTGCATGTTTCGGTCTTGCATTAATATGCTTCCAATCACAAAACCCCTCATGCCTCAATGCACTTTTGCATTTGTCAGAATTGAAAAGCTTACATCACAATGAAAACACTTTTTTTGCGCCTTTTGAAATAACTGACCATTTCCTATCACGCACTTCTCAATTGCACATATTTCTTGAGTAATGCGTATATGAAAAATGTCTTGAATTTTCATCCAAAGAATATTTAGTGTTTTCTTCTTTCCTTTTAGGCCCCTTTTCCACTAATATATCCCTCAATTTATTTTCAAGATTACCCAAATTGCTTAGATCATAAATATCCACAGTAATAACCGGTTCGTCATCAACACTAGCAAATTATGTCGCAGATGAATTAAATATGGACGCAGGATCGCTCACATTGGTATCATCAATGTTGATGTCAACATCATCTTCTGTAGGAGAATGACCATCATTTTTCTGATTGGCACTAGTTTGGTCATCCATAAGAACTATCACCAACTCGTCTAGATTTTTTGAAGTGCTCGGATGGCTCTTATGATTTATTAAGAAGGGATCCTTTCATGTCATCTACCTCCTTCCTTTTTCTTTTATCACATCCAGATGGATACTTTACACCCGAACCCAATATGGCAGTGCTGAAATTGAAAGGAACAATAAAATTAGTGCAAAAAATTAAAATATTGGATTAATTACAGAAGATCTTCACCTAATATCATGACAAAATCTGCTAGGGCATAGTATAGTACCTTCTCTCCGTAGTCTAATCTGGCTATGTGCGCGCGTTTGATCACCCTGCCAACAATTCCCTATTGACCTGTTCGAGAATTCGGAAATCAGGATTAGAAAAAGAAAGAAACAGGAAGAAGAACATGCAAGGGCAGAAGGCGCGCACGAGGAGATGTACCTGCCGTAGTCGTCGCGCCGTTCGTCAGGAGGCGGAGTTGAAGTCTTGAAGACGAATAGCGGTCGGCGGAACATGCAAAAGGGCAGGGAACGAGATGATCGAGGATCCGAAGGAAAAGGAAATCGTGCCTGAATCGAGCGATTTCTTTCACGTCATCTGCCTGTACGTGCAAACATGGGCCAAGCCCATCATCTCTCCCTTTCTTTCCTATGCCTAGCAGGTGAGTCACACGAGAGGAGCAGAGGCTGGGGCGTTGCTGAGTTTGGCTTCAATTTTTTTTGATCGTAGTATATACTTGTGTACCCTACATACACGTACCTGGAGGGGGCCCCTGCCGTTTGGGGGCCCGGGGCGGCCGCCCCGTTCGCCCCCCTCAGGGCCGGCCCTGCCCACAGCCTGAACCACCCGGGCCGTGGCCGACCACACGACCAGATCTACAACCAACTCAGCGGCGACTCCGCCGCTGCCCCGACCTCACGACGGCGGCCGCGACTGTCTCGCCGAAGCTCCTCTACCAAAGGTACCCCTCTCGCAAAGTCCCCATGCCTCGATCTTTAGGCAGCCGCGGATCTCGCTCTTTAGCTTGGTCCCGGGATCCCCTTTGACCTTAGTCCGATGCCAACACCCAGTCACCACAACTTTTCTATTCTTCTGCCGTAGGTACGAAATGGCTGGGTCAGTTAGCTCCGATGATTTTTGCACCCCCGGCGGCCGCCGAACTGAACCAACACCGGCGAAATCATCAGATAGCAGGCGAACTAGTGCGTCAGGCAGCCGATCTGATGCAATTCCACCTAATTTCACTTCTAGGAGCTCTGCACGTTGTCACTATTAACGACAGTTTCAGTGAATACAAGCGGCGGCTAGTAAAAGAGATAGGATTCGGGGGGTGCTAGAGCTGCCAATGATCCAGAAGTTAAAACTCAAGCTTAGTGCTTGGGCAATGAGCAAGGTCGATGTCACCCAACGTGCATTTGTTATTAATCCAAAGATAATTCTCCCGTTCAAGCCAGCGGATGTGGCCAAGGTCTTCGAGATCCCATGCGGCAACAGGGATGTGCGTGGACCGGATGGCAACATCAACGAAGAGTCTGTTTCATTTATAAAAAAGACCCTAGGCATGGACCAGTCCGCAGCACACAGCTTGCGCGTTGCGGAGGAGTTCTTGATGCGGAACATAACTGAAGAATCAAGCAAGTTGGAGAAAGACTGTTTTCTGATAGCGTTCGTGATCTTTGTAATGGGTCATCTCCTAGATCCTTCGTCGAAACATGACTACAAGAGCATCAATTCCTGGGGCGCCATTGCTAATACCGAAGAGATAGCCCAGTTCAATTGGTGCGAGTATGTGTTGCAAGCCTTGCTTGATGCGGTCACAAAACTGAAGGTTGATATGGATAATGGCGTCACGACAGCAAACCTTACTGGATGCCATCTTTTCCTTCAGGTAATGACAATCATTTCACCCCTTTTTCCACCATCAAGTCAAACCAACTATGATGGTACTATAAGCAAAATCCTTCATCTCAATACTGATCATGATTTGTTATCAACCTTTTTATTATGTGGCCCAGGTGTTCCTTCTTGATAACCTTGACTTGGGGATATTCAACCTGAAACATGATGTTTTCCCTTGGGTCAAAATGTTCGACCAGGACACCTTGCGGCGCATGACTATAATGGCGTCCGACGCTGGAGTACCTGAGCCGTCGTTCGCGTCATCAATGGTAATATATCTGTGAATAAACCACTGTCGTTAGCCATTGATGAGCCCCCACCGCACACCCAACTGAACAACCTTTTATTTTTCTTTGTCTCATGTTTTAACATTTGCAGTTGAGAGATGCAGCGACCGTATGCTACTCCCAGAGCGTTCAGACTGACAAGCCCCGCACCGACAACCCGCCATTGTCTCGAACCTGGTCCCCTCTCCCGCCATGCGCGCACCGGCACCTCCCTTACTGTACCGAAGGACAGTGTAGTCAATCGCCCATCTCCAATGGTCGCAGTTGCCAAGAAGACCACGCCCCCAAGGCAAATGACCGCTGTTGACTACTCGAACTATATCACAAATCGATACCCAACTATGGTATTGAGCTCGCACTCTGTTTTTTCTTAGTATTGTCTTCACCTTCCTGTCATTCTGGTTTCCATAACTGAACCTAACTCGCATCTCCTATTGCAGTCATCCCAAACGATAGCGGTTCTTCTCCGTGAACAGAATGCACGGGCGGTGCGCCATCTTACCACGGCTTCTGGATGCACATGCTGCACTGCTAGGGGTTTTTCTGATTGCCCTGTTAGACCGCAGACGCTAGACGAGGAAAGCGCATCATGCCGCGAAAAACGCAAGTTTGCTCTTCCTGGAGCCACGCACAGTGCACAAGCTTCATACCACACTCCAAAGTATCGCAAACTTAGCGGTCTCAAGTTGGACCTCTCCGACTGCGAAGGTTTTTTTAAATCCTGCGATAATTATCCATGCCAAATTTATTTTTCTGTTCTATATGTTGCTAAAGCAATTTCCTCTGTTATTGCCCTTTCTCCCCTACAGTTGAAAGTCCACCACAGAGAAGCGGCGTGCGAAAAGGCAGCATGCAAACCGAGCCAACACGCAAACCCGGCCATCATGTGGCCACATCAAGCCACAACAAGGACAAACATCATGGAAGAAGCGACGCCATATGCAACGCCATACAACAGTATGCCATATGCATAGCTGAAGCAGTTAAGGACATATACGTCGATAGTATTCAAGAAAACCAGACAGGCGTTTTCTTTTCCATCTCCACCGCCGAGCTACCCAAACGGAAATACGTATCATCAAGGAGCTATGCAGGGAATCCATGGTTTAAAGGTCGCCCAGTCGTGCCTCCTAAAACTGATATAGCCGACTTGCTGGAAGCCTATCTGCCATCGCTGCCCGACAATCAGCTGGCACAGTGAGTTTTTTCTTTTCAATAGATGTTCTAATGCTGATATATCACACGCCTCCGTCCAAACACCAGAGTTCTAACTTTAACTTATGCTACTGTCTGTAACAGAAACTGGATAGTTCATGGTACCCCCCGGGAGATTAGAATCAGAGGTGTCGAAATCCAACTACAGATCATCAGCAATAGCATGCTCAATCACGAGCTTGGTTCCATCCTTATACATCAACTAATGCAGATGGACAGTGAAGCTAATTTGGATACACCTTGCCTAACACACCGCCACATCCTCGAATGTGATTTCTCGATACGAATGCACCATGCTAGCAATGTCTTCGGTTCATTTCTCATTTCTCTGCGCAGCCCATTTTGTTTCGCCACCTGCATTAATCATAATGGCCTCCTCAATTGTTTTAATTGTTCCTTCTTTGCAGACCTTAGCCCTTGCCGAAAATTCAAGTATTTCTAGGTTTTTAGAGATCTAGAATCAGTTTATTGGTCCGGTTGTGCAGCACGCAGTAGAGGCATGCCAACTAGTAATGTTTTTTACCCCACCAATACTTTTGAGCAAACCCTTTCTCCCCCTGTGACACAAATGGCACGACTAGAGCTCACAAATTGTGTCTCCGAAAACAAAAAAACTTTAGTTTTACATCCCAGCAATACTTCGAGAGGGGTGGGCTCTCTACATGTGGGACATGCTCCAAAGGGTGATCCACATCATCGCTCCCTCTGTTGGTGGCGGGGTATGGAATGCTGAGCAGAAGGAGCGGCACGAGCTCATAGCGTCCCGGCTCCATGATGCTTTGTTCCAATGCTTGGAAGACTTCTTCGCAGTGTGGCCTACGCCAAAAGAAAATTGGTCAACTAAGTTTCCTCAACTCTTTGACACTGCATTCACTAGGTATGCTCGCTGTCAACCTAGGTTCACAAGTTTTATAGAATTTGAGGACATTATTTCCTTGTTGCTATCTCGTTCTAATACTTGCTTCTCCTTTTCATAATACGTGTTAGGGAGGAAACCGGGTACTGTGTTATGCATACCATCAGGTACCACGACGGAGATAAATTACGAGTCCCCATAACAAGGGCGTGTAACCTTTTTGAATTTTCTTACCTCAATTTCATACTTGATGCCCGACATACGTCTTCACTCTTTAGTGATAACATTCTCCGACCGTTTTACCTTGTAGGACACCCTTAAGACCACTAAGCTATGTGCGCTGCAAGATGCAATGAAGCTGCAGGGGAACCAATCTTCACTCCCAGCTGACGCAATATGGTCAGTGTTCGCTCCTTCTGGGGATTTCGATGACAACACGTCTCAGTAGCTGCAACCCATGTCTATTGGACATGGTTTTCCTTTTTTCGTTCAATGACTCATTTCTGGCCATGGAACACGAGACCTTCTGTGCTACTCTTAGTATTTGAGTCTTAATCAAACCGCTCAGCGAACACCAAGACCTTTTTTCCACAAGCGGGCTGCATGTTTGAGACTTGCTATTTTGGTTTTAACTATTCCATTTTGTTCCACCATGATTCCTCTGTTTTCTTGCGGCTAACACACCAGTGGATCTTTTTACTTGTACTAGCCCTACTAACGCACAAGAGGACACCCGAGGATCCTCCTTTCTAGCTTTTTGCATGTCCATTCAAATTACCCAAAACAAACCGCACCCTAGACCAGATTAAAAAAACTTAGCACAGGACATACTTCCATAGAGGTATCCGTACCGAAGTTCACATAGTTGATACTAGCATAGTTACGAGCCAAACTATCTACATGCCTAGGGGCACGCCCAGATTACGACACCAACTTGTTTAACTTCTTACATAAATAAACCTCTCGGAGCAAATGA